ACGTTTTTCTTCTGCTCCTCTTGATGTCCAGCGTCAGTCGGTATGTGTCTCGTCATGGAAACACATGTTTCTCACGATAAACATCGGAAAGGCGCATGACAGGCCCAACGTAATCTTAGCTCTTTGAAGATTGTTGAACTTAGGTCGTTGGAGCGAGGTTTCGTATCGCGACGAATGGGCAAGGAGGATCCCATTCCTGCGTTATCACCCGAGGGTGCAGCACCCGTCTGGGGATCCATCATGTGTTCGTACTGTCTGAGCCTGACGCGTCGGTGACGTTGGCATTCCAAATAACGACCGTGTGTGATTGTATCAGGCGTTGCCCGGTTGCGGGGAGCAGTGGGGTCCGTGTGCAGATATATCATGCATGTCGGTCTTGCGTTGGTTGTCCAGATGGTTGCCCCGATGATTGTCCTGATGGTTGCCCCGTGGTTGTGCCGATGGTTGTCCCGATGTCTGTTCCGATCGTTGTCCAGATTGTGGTCCCGATGGTGGGTTGATGGTTTGATCGTGGGATTGGTAGATAGTGAGGCCGACAGAAATGTATCGACACATCCATGCAAAGTGAGTCTGGTAGAGAAATCGTTAAATTCAATCGGGGTTCAAAAGACGGGGGTCAATGCAAACGGGGGTCAGCCAGGGCACCGGATCCTGCAGGATCCTGCGAAGACTCCCTCTGGCTGACCCGGGTTAGCGAGCCGCTCGTGGCCGCGAGGCGGCCGCGCATATTGGCTGACCCGGGTTTGCGAAGACCTGCGTTGCATTTTTTTTTCTTGAATTGTAGTTTTTGGTTTTCTGCTGACCCCGTCTGGATTGACCTGGGTCAGAAGATCCCAGATTCAAAGATAGACGTTGACATTGGTCGATGGATTTGGGGTATCAATCGGTCGGTACAATTCTACTAACAATGATCCGTAGATCGGTTTGTATATATGTACACAAATAGATGTGTATATATATATATATATATATATATATACATGTATAACATAGAGTAATGTCTGTATCGAAGACGCCTACGGCGAATCACCGCCGCCCCCTGCCTTTTTGGAAGCGCCTATGTGGCCGAACGTTGAGGCCAGACCTGCCGAGCTATCGGACCACGTGTTCCCCGAATCGGTTTGGAAAGCCTTCGGGGAACACGTGGGCATCTTGAAGGTCATCTTGGCCGTCTTGGAGGCCTCTTGGGCAAGCTTTGGGCGATCTTTGGGGCTTTTTGGGCCGTCTCGGGCCAGCTTCGAGCCAACTTCGGCCATCTTGGTGGGTTCCTGGCACGTCTGAAGCCGTCGGAAGCCGTTTGGGGGGCCTCTATGGGCCGACTTGGGGCCCGCTTGGAATGCTCCAGGGCCGTCTTGGAGGCCATCTTGGGCGTCTGGGAGGCCATCTTGGGCGTGTTGGAGGCCTCTTGGGCCCTCTTGGGGCCCTCTAGGGGCCATCTTGGAGGCCACTTGGGCCATCATGGGGCTCTCTTGGGGGCCTCTTGGGCGATCTTGGGGGCTTCTTGGGCCGTCTCGAGCCGTCGGAGAGCCGAAAAGGCGCAAATGCCAGAATCCTTCAAAAACCAATGGAAAATCAATGATTTTGGCCTCTTCGGACTCTCCTGGAGGACCTCTTGGAGGCCTCTTGGGCCGTCTGGGAGGCCTCTGGGGGGCCTCTTGGGCCGTCTTGGGCCGTCTTGGACTCTCTTGGGCCGTTTTGGAGGCCGTCTTGGACCATCTCGGGCGGACTTGGAGGCCATCTTGGGCCATCTTCGCGATTTTTTGAGGATGTCCCGAGCGAAACGGCCGTTTTTTGGAGGATTTTTTTCCGGATTGAGGTCCTTTCGGCTTCCTCCCGGGACCCCGGCGGGACGTGCCGGAGCCCACTGGGGGAGTTCTTTTGGAAAAAGAACCAAAACCAAAACCTGAAACATCCAGCACGCCGTGCACCCCTGCAAGCAGGGGGCGGCGGATCGAAGACGCCTACGGCGAATCACCGCCGCCCCCTGCCTTTGTGGAAGCGCCTATGTGGCCGAACGTTGAGGCCAGACCTGCCAAGCCATCGGACCATGTGTTCCCCGAATCGGTTTGGAAAGCCTTCGGGGAACACGTGGGCGTCTTGATGGTCATCGTCGCCGTCTTGGAGGCCTCTTGGGCGATCTTTCGGCGATCTTTGGGGGCTCTTGGGCCGTCTCGGGCCGTCGGAAGGCCGAAAAAAGGGAAATGCCCAAATCCATCAAAAACCTTGGGAAAATCAGTGATTTTGGCATCTTTTGGCCTTCCTGGAGGCCCTCTTGGGGGCCTCTTGGGCCCTTTTGGGCCAGCTTCGAGCCAACTTCGGCCATCTTGGTGGGTTCCTGGCACGTCTGACGCCGTCGGGAGCCGTTTTGGGGGCCTTTCTGGGCCAACGGGGGACCCTCTTGGGGCGCTCCAGGGCCGTCTTGGAGGCCATCTTGGGCGTCTTGGAGGCCATCTTGGGCGTGTTGGAGGCCTCTTGGGCCCTCTTGGGGCCCTCTAGGGGCCATCTTGGAGGCCACTTGGGCCATCATGGGGCTCTCTTGGGGGCCTCTTGGGCGATCTTGGGGGCTTCTTGGGCCGTCTTGAGCCGTCGGAGAGCCGAAAAGGCGCAAATGCCAAAATCCTTCAAAAACCAATGGAAAATCAATGATTTTGGCCTCTTCGGACTCTCCTGGAGGACCTCTTGGAGGCCTCTTGGGCCGTCTGGGAGGCCTCTGGGGGGCCTCTTGGGCCGTCTTGGGCCGTCTTGGACTCTCTTGGGCCGTTTTGGAGGCCGTCTTGGACCATCTCGGGCGGACTTGGAGGCCATCTTGGGCCATCTTCGCGATTTTTTGAGGATGTCCCGAGCGAAACGGCCGTTTTTGGAGGATTTTTTCCGGTCGTTGAGCACCCTTCCGGGTGGCCGGCGGGTTCTGCCGGAGCCCACTGGGGAGTTCTTTTGGAAAAAGAACCAACACCAAAACCTAACAGCTCATCCAGCACGCCGTGCACCCCTGCAAGCAGGGGGCGGCGGATTTAATGGCCTTCGGGCCGTCCCGCCACCGTGCCTGGGCTGTGGTTCAGAGATATCTAGGACGCATATGGGGGTCTTTTGGGATGCATGCCCCTCGGGAGACTCTTGAAGGTTCTTGGGGGCTTCTCGGGGGCCTCTTGGGGGCCTTTCTGGGCGTTTTGGGGGCCTCTTGGCGGCCTCTTGGGGCGTTTTGGGGGGCCTCGAGAGCCTCTGGGGGGTTCCTGGGGTCATCTTGGGGCGGAAGGCTCGAAATGTCCGTTCGTGTTTGCTCTGTCTTGGGACCTCTTGAGTGCCTCTAAGGGCCGTCGGGGACTGCAGGGTTCGCATGGCGGCCCCACACCTGGTTCGGCACATCCCTCACACGTTTCGTGGCCCCACCGTGGGCTCCACCGAAGGCACCAGCAGCAGGGTTCGCATGGCGGCCCTGCACCCGATTCGGCCCACCCCTTGCACGTTTCGTGGCCCCAGAGGGTGCTCCACCGAAGGCCCCAGCGGCAGGGCCCGCATGGCGGCCCCGTCACATAACGCCCCTCACGCGTTTCATGGCCCCGAGGTGGGCTCCACTGGAGGCCCCAGTGGCAGGGTCCGCATCAGGGCGGTCCCGCATCCGATCCGGCACAGACCTCACACACGTCGTGGCCCCATATGGGGGCTCCACCGACGGCCCCAGCGGCAGGGCCCGCATGAAGGCCCTGCACCCGATTCGGTACACCCGTCACGCGTTTCGTGGCCCTACAGGGAGCTCCAGCGAAGGCCCCAGCGACAGCAGCGATTCCGGTACAGCCCTCACATGTTTCGTGGCCCCACAGGGAGCTCAATCGACGGCCCCAGCGGCAGGATCCGCATGGCGGCCCCGCAGCCATTACGGCATACACTTCAAACGTTCTGTGGCCCCGTCCCATCTGCCTTGCGACAGTCACACCCGCAAATGGTTGGGTCATGCGCCAGGATATTTGTTTCTTTTGGTTTGCCCCCCATGTTCTGCCATGTGGTTCTTGTTATTACCCAGGCGCCGCCGCCTGACCCCTCTGTCACGCTCCTCCCCTCCTCCCCCCCATACTCACACACACACACTCGTACTCAGATTCACTCATAATCAGACGCACTCATATTCAGACTCACTCACACTGAGACTTCCTCACGCTCAGACTCACTCACACCCTGACCCCCCGCTCCTACCCAGACTCACTTCTACTCAGACTTCCATCGCACTCAGACCCACTCACATTCAGACCCACGCAAACTCAGACTCGCTCATACTCAGACTCACTCTCACTCAGACACGCTCACACTCAGACTCACTCATACTCAGACTTCCTCACACTCATAATCATTCATCTCAGACCCACTCATACTGAGGCTCACACACTCAGACCCACTCACACTCATACCCATTCATACTCAGACTCACTCACACTCACTGGCATTCAGACTTGCGACGCACTCGTATTCAGAGTTGCAGATTGTTAGGATGTTTCCAGCGAGTCTCTGGTTTTAGCATCCCAGGGGGGAGCCGTTGCAGCACTCCCAAGGGGAAGCCGTCAACGGGTATTACATTCGCCCGTTCGCGCCCAGATTGTGGGGATGTCTCAGGCGGTTTGCGCGTTTGCTGGCTCTGACTTGTGTGCTGCCAAGGCAGATGGTGACGATGTCTCAGGCGAGGCGCTGGTTTCAGCACTCCCAGGGGGGAGTCGCCAGGAAGACGCGGAGGCACATACAGGAGCCTACCTTGGCAGAGGGAGTTGGCGTGTTTGCATGTGCTCTCTGAGAGATTAAGATGTGAGATCCGAGAGCGTGGTGTATTTTTTCTCTGTGTATAGGAGGTGTGGGGGCCCTCCTGGTCCGCCTCCCATCCCCACCTCTTGCCCCGTCCTCCTGCTTCCCTTGCTCCTCCACGTCATGGGGGACTCCACCCCCGGCGTCGCACCTCTCCTTGCACGGGCGTTCGCCATGGGCGCCCGCCCTCTGGACGGTTGAATGGGTCAGGGCAGGCGTTATCAGAGCGGAGATTTGGCTCGACCGAACTCCCATCACTGCCTCGAACTTCATAGACCTTGTGAACGTGGTGGGCAGGGCCGCCTGTTCGCTGCGGGGGATGCGGGAGGACACGTGCAGAAGGCAGAGCACACCGCCAGATGTTTGAGGGTGGTGAAGTGGGGGGGCAGCGGAACTGGGCCATGATCAGGATATCCCCGTTCCCCTTTGTATGTGGGAAGAGATGGAGGCGGAGGCGGAGAATGAGGACGAGGACGCGGAGGATGCGGGGAGGATGAGTAACGAGTTCAGTGGCTTGGGTTGAGGTCGAGGCGGTCCTAGGTTCCGGCGGCTTTGCAGGGCTCAAAGGAATTACCAGTGTGTTTCGGGGATTCCATGGAGAGTAGTAGCAGGACCATAACGGGGGAGGAGGGTGAGGGTGAGGGGGACGATGATGATGATGCTGATGATGATGCTGATGATGATGATGCTGATGATGCTGATGATGCTGATGATGCTGATGCTGCTGATGCTGATGCTGATGATGCTGATGATGCTGATGATGCTGATGATGCTGATGCTGATGCTGATGCTGATGCTGATGCTGATGCTGATGATGCTGATGCTGATGATGCTGATGCTGACGCTGACGCTGCTGCTGCTGCTGCTGCTGATGATGATGATGATGATGATGATGATGATGATGATGATGATGATGATGATGGTGGTCTTGTCTAGTGAAGTTGAATACCTTTAGAGGGGGGAAGAGGCCGAAGCTTGTTTTCCGTAACCTTCGGCTCTCGAGCTTGTATGGCTTGGCTGGGCCTCCCGGAGGGCTTGCTCAGGGCGGTGGATCGCTGGGGCGCGCCCGCGCTGCAGGCCTGGGTAGCTCGCTGCCCCGCCATCGACGTGCCGCCGTGCCCTGCGTGCCCCGCCTGTCCGCCGTGTCCTGGGGCCACCGTGGGCGCAACCGCGGGCGCGGCCTCGCTGGCGTGCCTGGCGGCGGGCGTCGCCGGGGCGGCCCTGGGCGCGCTGGCCGCCATCGGGGTGCTGCGGGTCTGGGGCCCGCCGCGCTTCTCGGCGGAGGCTCGGGGCCCGGAGGCGCCCGCAGGGGAGCGGCTGGCAGAGGCGCCGAGCAGGTCGTCCTCGCGTCTGGCGCTGTCGGCGGCTGGCGATGGCGGAAGCATGGGCGTGGGTGCTGTACAACGTGGGCGGCGCGCCGCCCTTCCAGCAGATGAGGGTGGCGGGCCCATTGGCACTCACGGATGACGTCGTCATCGTGGCGCCCGACGACATGGTCTACGCCGAACGGCTCTTGGCGGCCGGGCCCGACGTGGCGGCGGTGCGTTTCTCGGCGACGCGCTGGCCGCCTCCGCCTGGGATCGCGCCCGACTCCACGTACAAGTTTGGGCGCGCCCTGTCGGTCGCCCGCGATGGCGCGTGGCTCGCCGCCGCCTCTGCCGAGGCGGACGCCGAGTTCGCCCGCCGCGATCCTGGGGTGCCCATCCCGCCTGGCGGCACGCTCATCCCCGTGAGCGACGGGCTGCTGCCAGGTGCAAGGCCCCCGGCCGCGGCTGGTGGGGCGCTGGTGGGGGTCGCCGTGGGGGCCGTCGCCCCAGCTGCGGGCGGCACCGCGGGGCCGTATCCCCTCGCCGCGCTGCCGCCCGCCGTGCTGGCGGCCCCCGCGGCTGGCGTGCCGAGGGCCGCGGGTGCCCCGCCCGCCATCGGAACGCCTCCGGGCCCTGGGTGGAAGGAGGACGGCGGCACCCCGCTGGGGGCGAACGGCGAGGCGCGGCTCGGCTGGGCCTGGGTGCCCGCGGAGGACGTCGACTTGATGCCCTTCGGCTCGGTCGTGCACGTGGGGCCGGCCACCGAGAGCCAACTGCGGGGAGCCCCCCCGCCAGGGACACGAGCCGAAGTCCGAGCGTCGGACACGCGCCGCTTCGCGGTGAAGTCGCCCCGGCGCCAGTCTTCCAAGATGAAGAGTATGGCCGAGACGCCCCCCGCGAGCGAGACGACGACAGCCCGCCTGCTGGCCCGCGCCGCCACCGATGCCCGCGATCGAGGACTTGGGCTCAGGAGGAACCTGTGGCGATCGACCCGGGGGCGGTGAACAGGTTTCTGGCGGAAACTGACGGACAAGGCCAGGGGGGCCCAGACCTGGGGCGGCAGCTGAGGGAGCCAGCACACGACGATACTCGGCGAGCAGGGGGCAGGCCAGACGGCAGTTACAAGACGGAGCTCCAGAGGCTGGTGGATGAAGCGGTAGTGTCTTCAGTGGCGCGCAGCACCCGCGCCACCTACGGCGGCGCATGGGGGCAGTGGATGACGCTGTTCTGCTGCATTCGTCGACGTTCTCCTGTGCTGCACGGGGAGACGAGGGAAGAGCGGCACCAGGACGAGGGACGAGGAGGAGCTGCTGCTGTTGATGATCCATATGTACAACAGCTTGCACCGGTTGCACAGGACGATCCGTTCGAAGCTCCTCGGCATCCGCTCCCAGGACGTGATGCTGGGGGAGCCAGACCCGCTGGCCAGGAAGCCCCGCATCTGGATGGCGCTCAACGGCACCGAGAGGTGGCAGGGGCCCGGGCGGAGGAAGCTGCCTAGGAGCATGCTGAGCCCGGACGACTGCGCGGACGACGCTGCCCTATACCTGTGCGTGATATTCGCTTTCTTCATGATGCGGGCCGGGGAGTACGCCCACTCCAGACACTGGGATGTGAAGAAGGCGCTGACGGGCCAGGACATCGCCCCGAAGTGCAAGGGAGAGCAGGTCAGCCATTTCGCCACAGCGGATGAGGTGGTGCTCTGGCGCAAGTCGTCGAGGGCAAACCAGACAGGAGCGGGACAAGCGAGGAACCACTACCGCTCGAACGACCCAGACGGGATCTGCCCTGCGTGGGCGGCGGAGTGCTACAACCGCTGGTTCCCAAGCAGGCTGGTGGGCAAGGAGGCGCACCTTCCAGGAACTGCTCTAGAAGGCAGCGGCGCCGTAGGGCTACCCGCCAAATCGCTTGAAGAGCCATTCGCTCCGTAACGGCGGGGCGACGGCTCTCTGCCACTGCTTCCAGGATGCTGAGCTGGTGAAGCGCTGGGGACGATGGAACAGCGGCGCGTTCCATCAGTACCTGTGGGAGGCGAATGAGGGCGCAGCAAGGGTCTCAGGGGCCATGGCCAAGTCGGTGGCGACCCTGCATGTGGGGCACGGGGCCCTGGAGACTCGAGACCACGCGGCGCCGAAAGAAGGAGGAGGTGACAGAGCGGAGCTGCCGCAGGCCAGTGCAGGATTGTCAGCAGTCTGGGGGATGCTGACCTGAGGCAGCGTGTGAGGCGCAGCGCAGCTGGGCCAGCGCAGGACTGCCAGCAGTCCGGGGGAAGCTGGCTGGCCTGAGGCAGCGCCTGAGGAGCAGCGCGGCATGAGGTGGCGGGGCGCAGTCCGCCAGTGCGGTCCCCGAGGAAGGAGGTGGAGGTGCGGAGGACCGTCAGCAGGCTGGGGTCCCTGACCCAAGACGGCGCCAGAGGCGCAACTCAGCCGCCATGGGCCGGGGCGTAGTCCGCCAGAACGGTCCCCGAGGAGGGAGGCGGAGGCGAGGTGTCGGGGCGTTGTCCGCCAGAGCGGTCCCCGAGGAGAGAGGTGGAGGCGAGGAGAGGGGACGGGGCGCAGTCCGCCCGTGCGGTCCCTCGAGAGGTCGGGGTGGCCAGAGAGCCGGCGGCGGCGGCACAAGGAGAGGCGCGCGCGCGCGCCTGTGCTGCCAAAAAGGAGTGAGGATACATTATGAGGGGAAGGTTTGCACACGGCACCCGCTTGTCGGTTTTCCAGGCACGAGCCCGCACAAGCCGAACACGAGGACGAGGACGAGGATGATGATGATGATGATGATGATGATGATGATGATGATGTTGATGATGATGATGCTGATGATGATGCTGATGATGATGATGACGATGATGATGATGATGATGATGATGATGATGATGATGATGATGATGATGATGCGGAGGGGGAGGAGGAAAAGGAGGAGGATGACGAGGAGGAGGAGGAGGAAGAGGAGGAGGACGAGGAGGAAGAGGAGGAGGAGGAGGAGGAGGAGGGGGAGGAGGAGGAGAAGAAAAATAATAATAAGAATAATAATAATAATAATAAGAAGAAAAAGAAGAAGAAGAAAAAGAAGAAGAAGAAGAAGAATAATAAGAAGAAGAAGAAGAAGAAGGCTGGCGAGGAGGTGGAGGAGGAGGAGGCGGTGGTCGTCGGCAGTCGGATTTTTGCACTGAGGCGTTCACAGCGTTCGGGGGGCTTGGGGCTTGAACGGGCTGGGCAGTACAAACCAGTCGAAACCATCGAGGCATAATGGGGCAGGCAAGTGATGAGGGTGATGGGGAAGATAATGGACATGATGGGTACGAAAAAGGACAGGGACAGGGGTTCTACGATGGCCAGCACTTCCATCGTGTTGGGCGCTTAGCTGTGTGGTTGACGTATCGATGCAGCGCCAGGTCGTGCAGTGTGATCGGCCGCGCGTTTGCGACCTTTGCGCGAAGTAGCGGACGATGCAGGCGCCGTTGGATGCCCTCGCTCGCGCAAACGAATCGAGCTCACGATCGGGCTTTTCAACGCGATCCGTTCAGCAGTCGGCTAACCATCTGTCTTGCTCGATCTGCGTTGGCACTCCTGGCTGCACGCCGGAGAACATTAGCACACAAACGGGGAAGAGGAGGGACGGAATGGGTACCCGAGAGTGGGTGATGGGGGAAGGAGGAAGGCGGGGGGATTTACAGCGAAAGCGTTGGATGAAGGTCCGCTGTGCTTTTGGAAAGGGTTCGAGGTTCTTCAGGCCCATCTTCCAGTCTTCTTCTTGCGCTCCTCGTGCTGTAACTAGGTGCTGATGGGACCCCAACGGAGCTCCGTTCCTTGCCCAAGGTACCCTATGACAAAACTTTGATTGCATATGAGAGGAACGAGGAGGGAGGAGAGGGACAACTGTCAGGAGAGGGTGCTGTAAATTGGGAGGGGAGGGTGTGGGGGAGGCAGGAGAACGGGCAGGGGACGGGGTGGAGAGGGTGTGGGGAGTGGATCGTCGCCCAGCGGGGGCGCGGGGCACCCGTGTGGTCGCTCCGGCGGCGCCACCGCGCCCATGTCGACACACTCCTCGCACGGATCAGGGAAGGGTGCAGCAGAGGAGTGGAGGGAAGGGGAGGGGATAGTGAGAGGGGGGGAGGGGGGCGGGCAAGCTGGGTGCGCTCACGCCACATCTGACATCCTACCCCTCCCCCCAGCCATTTCCGTGTCGCCGGTTTTTTGGGGGGTCCTCGAGGACATCGACCCCCAAATGACCCCGTCGTGTGATGCGCAAGCGGGGATATGGGGGACAGGGAAACAGTTGTGGTGGGGGCGAGAAGGGCGAGAGGGGGGAGAGGAGATGGAGATGCGAGCAAGAAGGAAGAACAAGAGGGGGGAGAGAGTCAGCCACGCGCAAAGGGGGTATGGGGGAGGGGGGAAGGTCTCTGAAGAAACACTCCTGCTTCTCAGAAGGAGCGGGCCTCATCTGTAAATAGAATGCCGGCGCGTTCCAAGAAGCCTCCTTCTAGGAAGCCTCCCCCCTCCCCCTATCCCCCCGTTGCGCGCCGCCGAGAGAGGGGAGGGCAGAGGCCGGCCTCCGTCTCCCGCCCTGCCGAGATCATCCCTGGTTTCGTAGCGCAGTTCGGCTGCCCCTACTCGAGGGAGCTGCCTTTCCCGGGGGGTCCCAGCGAGCTTGGCCTTCCCACGCTCCTTGGCCTGTCTTCTCCGCATCCTCCCCGCTTCCTCCTCCTCCAAGCCCTAAAAAGATGTGGATTGTTTTTTTTCTCCGGTACCATTTCCTATATATGCACGAACGGAGGAGGATGTTACCCTGAAGCGCTTGTTACAAGCATGCGGGGCGGGTTTCCCCTGCAGGCACTTGCTGTTTTTGAGCATCATGCGGCCACAACTTTGAGCGGTAGTCGATTCGTGCTGTTGGAGAGCGTCAGATCCTCACCGCTCCATTCCTCCCATGTCCGCTCCTTGTGGCCCTGTGGCAGCGTCATGCAGTTGGAAATAGTAGTGCTCGTGTCGCTTTTCACAAGTATCCTTGCATCCTTGCCTTTCGGCACACCCTTATGTATGCTAGGCTCAGATGTTGGCCGTGCAGCCCCAGAGGTTTCAATCTGGACTTCCAAGGGGCTCGCATCATGACCGTGCATCTTTTCTCTTAGCTTGAACGGAATAGTTGTGGCGCTTCCAGCCATCCCAGGGCTTAAACATGTGTCAATGCGATCGGACTATGACTCATCTAGCCCTCCAAGGTCCGCAACCTCGTGGCGGGCCAATGCTAACACTCACTATGACAGCGGGCGCTCGCCGCATGCAGTGAAACAGAGGATACGTTCCCGAACCTGCGCGGAGGGAGCCTCTTGGGACGGGGCGGTGTACTGCATCTTCGGTGATGCGTGCTTGGTCTACGGTAATGACTGTGTCTATCTATCTATCTATCTATATATTTATCTATCTATATATCTAGCTATCTATCTATCTATATCTATGTCTCTCTCTCTCTCTCTCTCTTCCTGGGGGGCAGGCCCGGGGCCCACAAACATCTGCCCCGACCCCCCATGGGAGGACGGGACGGCCGGGGAGGTCCAAAATAGTCCAGGGGGGAATCCAGAGGCTCCCCAGACGGCCCAAGCGGGCCCCTAGTCGCCGCAAGACCGCTCCTGGACGCCCAAGACAGGCCCAAGACGGCCCGAGAGGCCCCCCTAAGGCACTCCACGACGCTTCAAGACGCCTCTCCAGAGCGCTTCAAGTGGCTGAAACCGTCAATTTTACGAAGGTTTTGGAGAGGTTTTGGCCTTCCAGCCTTTTCGGCTGTCCGACGTTCCAAGACGGCCCCATAGGCCCTCAAGAGCGCCCCAAGACGGCCCAAGAGGGCCCCCAGACGGCCCCAGAGGCGCCGAAGACAGCCCAAGAGAGCCCCAAGACGGTCCCACGATGCGCCCAAGAGGGGGACCACGACTCCAAAATTCGACCTTCCCGCTTGAAGAGTGCCTGAGGAGGCTCCAAGGAGCCCCCAAGAGGCCCCAGGAGGCCCCCGAGAGGCACCCAGGAGGCCCAAACGAGGCCTCAAGAGGCCACAAAACAGCCCCGAGGAGGCCCCACAACGGTCCCAAAACGGCTGCCAAGAAGCTGCGAAATTGCCTTCACGACGTCCCCGACAGGCCAACCACGAGATCCCAACCAACACCCATGAGGCCTCTGACCCACCACCTATGGCACCCGCCGCCCGCCCGCCGTCCGTGTAGCACGCACCACTCTGTACTCAACAGCTTCAGTCTCCAAGACAACACCCTGTACTCAACAAGCTCCCGCTGCAAGAGAGCACCCTTAAGGAATTCATTCAAATCCCGACCCGCCCGCCCGCCCGCCACCCGCCCGCCCGCCCGCCGCGCGCCCGGCCGCTCGCCCGCCTTCCGCGTAGCACGCGCCACCCTGCACTCAACAGCCTCCGCCTCCAAGACAACACCTAGCATTCAACAGCCCCGAGGGCTCCCGGGACTGCCCAGGCCCGCTCCCAAACACGCCACGGCACGCCAAGAGGGCCCTAAAGATTGCCAAGACAGCCCCAAGAGGCCCCGGACACGCCGAAGATGGCCTCAGGACGGCCGACGGCGCCGCCAAAACGCCCCAAGAGCGCCTCCAGAGGCCCCTCCAAAGGACCCCGCATTTTTGCGCTCTCGCATGTTCCGCCTCCCCACGGTCCCGGACGGCGTTAGAGGCCCTTCACATCGCTCCAAGACGGCCGAAGAGGCTCCCAAGAAGACCAGAGGTCTCAGGAGGCTCCCCAGATAATTTAAGAGGGCCTCGAGAGCGCCCCAAGAGAGCCCCAAGAGCGACCCAAGAGGGCCCGAAGAGCGCGACATTTCAAGGTCTCCGGCCTGAGAGGCTCCTGGGACGCCCCCGGAGGCTATCAAGAGGCTCCCAAGAAGCCCTGTGAGGCTCCCAAGAGGCCCCCCAGAAGCTCCAATATGCCCCCAAGGGGCCCCCAGGGAAGTCCCCTGCGGGCCCCCAAGAGACCTCGGTAAATCGTATTTCCCAAGGAGCTTTCCAGGAACATGATTCCTTGGGCTTCCGTCCACCGCCCCAACCATTTTTCCAATAGGCTTGCCGACAAGGCCAAAAAGGGCTCCTCGGTAAGCCCCCAGAGCCCCCAGAGGCCCCCCTGAAAGCTTCCCAGGAACATGATTCTCGGGTTGCCGCCCTCTCCCCAAACCATGTTCCCTAAACGCTTGCCAGGATAAAAAAAAACGAGAGTTCCAAGCAGCGCTACCTGCCGCCACGCTCGGAAACGCGTCAGGCCCCGAAGCCTCCGGAGACGCCCAACGACACCCCAACAAATTATGTTCCCAGGAAGTCTTACGGCCACTGTCGCCGACGTTGAAGGAGGACGGTCCAGGACACCCAGAAATCTTCCAAACAGGCTTCCAAGAGGGCGCCGAGACAGCCCAGGGCCGCTCCCAGACGGCCCAAGAAAGCCCCAACACAGACGAAAAAGGCCGCAAGAGGCCCCCACGAGGCCCCAGAACGAGGACATATCGTTCGAACACGCCCAAGATGGCCTCAGGACGGCCCACAAGGCTTCCAACACGGCCCAAAGGGACGCCAAAATCATTGATTGTCCTTAGGTTTTTGATGGACTTCAGACACCCACTGTCGCCCCAACAGGCCCCCACGAGGGCGCCGAGACGGACCACCCAGCCCATGCCGCGGGCACGAGGCGGGGCCCGGGACGGGGCCCTCGCACCAGGGGTCCTGGGGGCCCTGCCGTGGCGCTGGGGGCCTTGTAAAGTCGCCCGAAGACGGCCCTGGATTGCCAGAAATGGCGTTTCCAGACAACGAAAACGACCAATGACCGCTCGAGATCACCCCAGAATTTGCCCCTGACTGTCCAAGAGGCCTCCAAGACGCCCCAAGAGATCTCCAAGATGGCTCCCAAGGAGCCCCAGGAGGCACAACTAATTTATTTTCCTTTAGTTTTTGATCGATTTTCGAGTTCTCGCCTTTTGAGTTTCCTGACGCTCCACGACGGCCCAAGAGGCTTCAATTTCCGCTCCAAGGCATCCTCAGAGGCCTCGAAGACGGTCACAAGACAGCCCACGGGGCTCCCAAGACGGCGCCAGAGGCGCCCAAGGCGGCCCGAGAGGGCCCCAAGACGGCCCAAGATGGAGCCAAGAGGGTGACATGAACCGAAAATCCGAGTCTTCCACCCTGAGAGGCTCTCAGGAGGCCCCGTGAAGCCCCTAACTGGCTCCAAGAGGCCCCAAGAAGCCCCCCAGGGGGCCGAAGAGTATCCAAGAGGCCTCCCACGAAGGCCCCAAAAGGCAAACATCCATGTCTTGCCATAGGTTTTTGATTGATGGTAGAGTTTTCAGCCTTTTGGCGTCCTGACGCTCCAAGACTGCCCAAACGGCCTCCAAGACCAATCCAAGATAGCCCAAGAGGCCTTCAACAGGGCCCAAGACAGCCCGAGAGGCACCATTATGGCCCCAAGGGGGGCCGACGAGGGGTAAGACGAACCGAAAATCCGAGCCTTCCGCCCCGAGAGAGGCTCGCAGGAAGCCCCAGAGGCCCCAAAGGACGCCAAGACGGCCCAACTGGCGCCCCACGTCGCCCCAGAGGGCTCTGGGCAGCGCCCCAAATGAGTTCGGGCTCGCCACACATTGCTGCAAACGAGGCCCACAGGGCTCCAAAACGGCCCCTGCACGCCCAGCAGTGCTCCGATGCTGGCTCAGGTAGCCTCCTTGGCGCACCAACACAGCTTCGAGCTGATCCCCGAGAGGCTCCATGGGGCGAAACTCATTGACTACCATTGGGATTTTTCAGGGTTCCCCCGTGGTCGCCTGCTCCGCTGCTCGACGCGCATATACGGCACAAGAGGCTCCCAACAGGGCTCCAAGACACCCCAAGAGGGTGCCAATACCGCCCACGAGGTGCCCAGAATCGCCCAAGCGGGCTCCAGGTGGCTCCCCAAATGAGCTTGGACACGCCACGAGGGCCCTACAAGAGGTCCACAAGGCCCCCAAGCGTACCCAGCACGCCCACAATCGCGCCGATACGGCCCACGGGGCATCCAAGACGGCCCAAGGGGGCTCTAAGCTGCTTCCCCGAACAGCCACATTAGGCAAACATGACTGGTTTTCTAATTTTCGTGTGGTCGCCTGCTCCGCTTCCCGACGTTCGGAGACGGCGCGCGAGGGCGTGCATGACGGCCCCAACGCGCGCCAAGGCGGCGCCAAACGGGCTCAAGAGGCGGCCGAGATGGCCAAGAGGTCTCAATGTGGCTTTCTAAATGAGCCTGGACATGCCAAGACGGAAGGTTCCAAACCGGCCTCAGCACGCCCACCAAAGCGTCTATGGTATCCACACGGCATTCAAAACACCCCAGGGAGGCTCCGAACTGCCCTCCGAGAGAGTTGCAATGAGGATAAGAGTACCCAAGGCGATTTTCCAAACGAGCCTGGACACGCCAAGACGGAATGTTCCAAAACGGCCCCAGCATGCCCACCAAAGTTTCTATGGTGCCAGCGAGGCATTCAAAACGCTCCATGGAGGCTCCCAATTGCCCTCCGAGAGGGTTGCAATGAGGACAAATCAATGATTTTCTGTCGTTTTCAATGCTTTGTAATTGGTCGTCAGCTCCTCTTCCCGAGAACAGCCGCACGCCGCAAGAAGGCTTACTTCGAGCTTCGACACTCCAAAGGAGTTTTACACGTGGCCGAGGAGCCCCAAAAGGCTTCCCAAATGTCCATCGACACCCCGACAAGGCCCTACAGAGGTCTCCACGATGGCCCACACACGGCCGCAAACATCAGGTTCCGGAGAGCTTTCTGGGACCATGATTCTCGTCGCCCCTCATCGGAGCTGGAGGTTCTCCAGTATTTCAAATTAGCCCAGACACACCGACAGGCTCTCACTCAGGCCTCCACGAGGGCTCCCACACGGGCGCGCTTTCAGGTTCCCGGAGGAGCCTTCCGGGAACCTGATTGTTGTCGCCCGTCATCGGAGCAGGAAGTTCTCCAGCATTTCTGCGTGTTGCCCGTCAGAGCCTTCCAAGAAAATGATCTTGGCAGCCACTCCGAGGAAGACACGGCGAGGTGGAGGAGGAGGATGAGGATACCTGGCAAGTCGAATCTTCTGATATCCTGGAGCCTCTCCTGGCATCCTGGGGTTCATATATCTTCACAGCGATTCTGGAGCTACCTGGAAACTAGGCGCGCGCGCGTAGCGGGCGTGGTTCTAGTAACTCTAGTACGTATGTGTGTGTATATACATATGTATATTGAAACCCATATATATACATGGATCGGAGGTTGGGACGTGAGATCGCAGTGGAACGGATAGCCCACACTGGGGAATCGGTTTCGGTTTCGTGTTCGTGTTGTGCGTGCGGGCGAGGCGATGCTGCGTGGGC